AGTCCACCACTCCTATCTGATTTTCTAACTGTAGGTGCGCCGTTGAACTGAACTAGAACTTAACATCCAACTTATTCCATAAGGCCTTCAGGAAATTGCTAAAAAATTTTCATTTCTATCTAAAGTGAGGACATAATTGACTACTCTTCATAGTGGCAGCATAGGGGGTAAACTGAATGTCAAAGAATCCTGAAACTCTTCTAATCAGGGCTGCAGTCTTCCATGACACTCTCTTCCAGTATCACCAAGGCCAATTTGACCAGTACCTCTCTCATAGCATACATAAATGTGGCACGTGCACCTAAAGATCCTCTCTTTGTCTGGGTACCCATCGCGATTTACTTCTTCAGTGGCAGAAGTACAATGCGCTTCCAGTCCTTGATACATTAGTATGTGTTTTTGCGGTCATCATGAAACATACACTTGTCATATTGTCATGTATGGCCCTAAAGAATTGAAATGCATCCAGAAGTATGACATCACACCAAAGCTGATCTTGCAGTTTCTCTCCCACAGAAAACTCCATTAGACATCTCATGTCAACTGTGATTTTATTTCTCTTGTTAAACCACGATAGAGAATATGATTGATTGTGAATACTTCTGAGCAGTGAGTCTCAATTTATCCATTATATTTGTAGATGTTACATTCTCACAACTACCTCAATCTATAATGAGGTTTGTACACCTTTCCCTTCAAGGTGCAATGAGTACGAAATATATTGTGGTGGAGCTAGTTGTTCTCTTATGGGCTCAATTTAAAGAACTCGTCAGATTATTAGCATCCCTCCCTCATCTGCAGGTAGCTTCTATCTCCTATTCATTCTCCTTCTTCGGGTTTTTATCCTCTGACTCCTACACTGGACCCTGCTTAGTGAAAGATATCACATTTTTGTTTGGATGTTGTTCTCGCCTCCTATACACATTTGATCATTTTCTATTAATTTTGTTCTAATGTTTAAAATCTAAAAAATAATATTAAAATAATATAATGAATTATCTAAAGATAACCCAAGAGTAATCACACTCCTAAACTATAATAACTGAAGAAAAAAATTCAATATGCATGTCAGTCTTTCATATCTCTATAAGAAATATTAGAATATACCAATCTTTCATATTTTTATAAGAAATCTTATATATACTCATGCATACATCAATGACTTTTTCTAAATAAAAATACTCAATATTCTATATATATTTACTTTATTTTTATTTTATACTCTTTACATACATATCTGTCTTTGTGAGAATCACCATTAACAAACCTAACACACCCTTGTCCGATATTGCTTCATCGGTATAGCAGTTAGCGATATAAATATTGCAATTGTCTAAGGTGGAAAGGTTCTTACCTGACCGATATTTTTCTATCAGCACAGTAGTTAGCAATGTAAATATCACAATTATCTGGGGAGGTAAGCTCTGACCTACTTGTCTCTGGCTAATACTTACCGCCGGCACAGCAGTTAGTGATCTAACAATCACAATTGTCTGGGGTGGTAGAAAAATTCTACGCCCGCAGGTACATTGACATCCTCTGCTTGTACCATTAGAGGGTGAACTCATCATCTGAACATGCACATACAAACATTCATATATAAATTATTTCATTCTTTATAGCATACATTATTTTGAGATATTTTTATGCATCTATTTACATGCATATTTACTCTGACGTGCAACTATTCATCATACATAACTCTCTTATCATGCATATCTCTTATCTCTTGCATATCTTTTTCTACATGCTTATCATGCATATATATTTCTCATAATGTCTATCTTGCATATCATGCATCTCATACTTATCTTTCATGTATATTTTGTATATATTTTCAACCATGTATATATTTTCTAACTATATGAAGAGTTCAATTAAACTAGAGCATACATAGAGTCAAACATATATTCTGAAATAAAGAAGATTACTAAAATTTAGAAATGTAATTAATCATTTTAGTTGTCACACTAAATTCTTAATATTGGGTAAGTAGTTGGACAATGCAATAACTTTTATTTTGAGCTTAATAATTTATAAAGCATAATAGTAAACTTTATGATTTAAATAATTTCTGTTGATGAATTATTCTTATTAGCTTAGGATTAATATTCTTGAATTTTACAGAATCGTTCTACGGGTAGCTTTCACACGTTTACATCAAACTCGTCACCTCTGCTAACTAACCTAAAATCTTAAACGACTTGAAATTCAGGATATCTTAGTTCATACGATATTTTAACTCAAAATATAATTGATTTGTGAAAACATACCTTAAATAACTTCTTGTCAACCCAACCCTTCTCCGAGCTGCTAAAACTTCTTCCCTCTTCATTCTATCTTCTCAATCTTCCCTTTCTCTTCGTTGAATTCGTGTTAAAACCCCTGCAAAAACTCTCAAATCACTTTCGACACTTCTGACACAAGATCATTATCTCTGTCCGCTATCAGAAACGAACAATGCATAAAAAACGAGGCAAATCTTAAAATGTAAGCAATAAAAGGGAAATGAAAGCCTCAAATGTTGTTAAAATTTTTTTCGCACTTGCGAACTTCGTTCTGGAAAACCAAATTGTAGGCTGTGGCACTCTGTCGTCCGACCGCTCACGTTCCGTACTCCAACACTGTAGCTAGAGTCATGGTTACCCCCATGCCAAGAAGAAATGATGCAAGGGAAAAAGGGAATGCAATAACTAGCATAAAATAGTTATTTGTACCATTCGATTTCTTTTCTGGAGTTCAAACAGAGGGCTGCTGCTCTCGATGGGTCGCAGGTCTATGCTCTGCCCTCAAATTCTACTACAAGGGCCGCTTGGGAGCATTTGTCGAGCGTAACTGAACAGGGAGAAGTTCAAAACTTCTGAACTATCTGACACCAACCAAGCTTTTATCGCGTGGGAGAAGTCGATTGGAAATAATGAGGGGGTTATTAAGGATTAATTAAGTTTAATTAATTTAATTAAACTATAACTTCCGATTTTTATATCTTCCAATCTATTCATAATTTATGTATAGTATTATATATTGAATTGATCGATTTTTCGTTTAGAATTTTATAAATTTAATTCGATTGAATACTAAGGATGTGAAATTTGAGGTACATTTTAAGACGGAAAAAAAATTATTTGATTTATCAAAACTGGTTATTTTATTTTAGTGTATCTTTCATGAATTTTTGAATTAAACTGTTAGTGATAGAAATATAATAGCATATAATTGTTTTCTATCATCTGGTTGATTGTTCTCGTCTTGGTTAATTCTAAGCCCCGGGCAAAGTGGTGATAGGTTTTACGGGGAGGTGGTTGTGGAATGGCAAAGAAAAGATGATAGACAAGTTCGACGACATTTAGAAAGGTATTGTGTGTGATATCTGTTGTTGGACAGCTGATCGAAGAAGTTAGACGACTGTCCCGACTGAAGGCAACGACTTGAATGAGGAATCAATGAGATATGGGCGGCGAGGAGATTTCGCCACCTCATGCACACCATTTGTAAAAAGAAATGATAATCTTAAAATTGTCAAACAAATCATAAATTGTCTTATAATAAAAATAACACTAATTCGAAATAAGAAAATAGAAAATAAATAAAAAAAGGAAATAAAATATTGCATAAGTTAGCATGGGACTGCATTCCGGGCGGGATGGTATCCCTGGATCGTTGTAAACTCGGGATCCCGCATTTGCACCTCTAAAGGAGCGCGTCCCGTGAAGTATTCTGCCATTTTGATAGTTCTTAATCACTAGATTCACTATTTAATGGCGAGGGAGTTCACTCTTTACATTACTCGTGAAGTTGTAAGGTTCTTGAATAGTCAGAGCAAGCTGTAAGATAGCCATGTCTCATGTGTGGAGTTTATTTCTTCATTTTACTTTGTGCCCAAACACAAAGCCGAGAGTAAGAAAAAAGTTGTCGATGCGCTGAGCCTTCATTACTTATTGATCACCATTATGTAATCGAAGTTTGTTGGTTTGAAGGTATTGAATAATCTGTATGCCTCCCATGAAGGCTTTTAGGAGATTTGGAACTGCTGTCAAGACCTATAATATGAATAATTTTAAAGATAATATGATTTTTTTATTCGATCAAAATAGGTTGTGCATTCATAGGAGTTTACTCAGTGGGAGCATTTTATAGTAGTGCCACAATGGAGGTATGGTAGAATGTTTTGGCAGGGACAAGGCTCTCCTTAGTGAATGGGAATTTCTATTGGCCTAGGATGTTACGAGATGTGGAGAGACATATCAGGTAGTTTAGATTATGCCATTTGGTTGATATTGGAGCACATAATACAGGGTGATACACACTCCTTCATGTTCTTGAATTACTCTGTTGGATGTGAGTATGAATTTTATGAATTTATTCTTGCATTTCAAGCCAAGTCAATCGAAAATTCAGTCCAACCAAGCATCCTGCCAGTTTGAGCCAGTCTAATGGGTTTATTCATATTTAATTGACCAAAACTTTAGATCCAGTTGCAGAGATTGATTTCCCATACTCGACTTAGCAATCTTCCTTGGCGCTGTTTTTTTGTGTTGATTTGACTTTTTTTTCATGATAGTACTGCAGTGGTCCTCTACTTAAACCAGCTTTGTCATCGTTACCCTTAGCATTTATCCAAATTATTTGGGTTGGTTTTATGAAACCTTCTCTACCGATTTGGGTTGATTTTATGAATTCCTCTTCATACTTCATTCCCATTGAATGCTAAAAGATGTGAACTTGTTTCAAAATTCTTTTTGGATACTGATGAAAGGTGATGATTTTATGTTGGTATGAGTATTAGGGCAGATGATTATCTTTTCAGAAATCTTAAGTCAGGTAAACTCATGGTCAGATCAAGCAAAATGATGAATGAAGTTTGAGTAGCTATGAAATTTCTATCTTCAGGCCTTGAATGAGTGTATTATGTACTTATTTTATTTTCTCATCTATGTGTAGCTCGATTTCTTTTTATTAATTAAATAAGTAAATATTTCTTGATATGTATTCTGACGTAGGCTTCAATCATGTCAAAACATTTCACAAAGTCTGAAAATCCAAGGTGAACCTGAAGGAACACTTACTACTCAATACCTTTTTTGTCCTTGACGGTTATTTTGTTTAAGATTGTTCCCTTTTATAGAAGATAGCCGAGGCATCTAAAAGATGAGATGGTTCTGCTACATTCAGATGTGGTGAGGTCTACACAAATCTCATTGTATGTACATTACTCTTACTAATTTTATTCCTTCAATGTTTTCTTTGCGCTGATTTTCTGTTAATAATTTACTTATTATTTTTGTTATTAGTCTAAAGAATGCCACAATCATGACCTGGCTATTATCTATTTTTATTTCTATTCACTGTTTAACGTATGCGGAAAATTTCAGCAGAAAATTGGGTTATATAGCTTCTCTTGATGCTTCGAGTATTCGTAACAATTAGTTTTGGCCATTGAATTTGAGAAAATTGAACTGTTTGCCAGCAAATTTTTTTACTGCGAAAGAAATGGAACTTTCAAATAGATTTTGCCAAGAAAACTGATCTGTGCAGTTTTTCTAGTGTGAAACTATTGTTGGCTATTTAATGAGTCATACAAAAAGAAATTATTTCATATGGAGCACTTACGTTGCCGTCACGTGGAGGTTATTGAAAGGTTATTGAAGTAAAACTACAAAAATTATTGAGGAGTTATTTGAATGTTATTATGAGGTTATTGCGGGGGTTATGCAGGGTGCGGAGATTATTGAGAGGTTATTGGGGTGTTATTATGAGGTTATTGCGGAGTGTAACCATGGAGGTTTATTGGGAGGTTATTGAGAGTGTAATAACGGAGGTTATTGAAGCATTATTAGAATTAATACTTCAATAACCCCCCAATAACCTACAATTACACTCTCAATAATCTTCTCGGTTTCAATTCAATAATTTCTGAGGGAGGTGGGCCCAATATAGCACACATGGCAGCGTATTATTGGAGTACGCACGTAATATTGCTTACGTGCTCTGTATCTAATAATTTCTTCATACAAAGGCTGCATTATGTGTGAAGTCTGGCATTATCTTTTACAAAATTTTGTTATAAGATTAGTATGTACCACCTAGCTTGGTTTATTGCTCACCAGAAAGCAATTTTTGCATCTTCTATTGCTGGTTTTTTTATAATTTTAATTCATCACATCAAATGTTCTCCTGGAAGGAAGAGTATAGAATACCCCGTAATTGAGTTTTATATGCAGAACTTTTAGATAAGTGATCAGTTTTCTATAATGCAGAATGCCGCTTTTAATCAGTGCTCCTGCCTAAAATGTTGTTAAATGATAGTTATCTCATATAGAAAGTATGTTTAATCATCTTTAATTGTTTAACATGCTCTTTAACACATAAATGCTTACGTTTGTAAAATTATAGACAGAAAACATTGGTTTTGTTTATTAGTTTGATTTTTTACTTTCATTTTACAACAGTATAACAATCAGGGACCATTTTGTAATCGATGGCGCGGGGCAATTGACCTTCTTCAGTATCTGACTTTTTTAGGAAATTATTTGTAAGGTAGAGTATGCAGGTATTCCTGTAACTAATGTTGGAAGACCAACAGGACAGTTAATTAGACCTGAATATTGTCTTAACAAACCTGAATGTTTTCTCATTACAGTGTTTAATGGTCTAATTATAATGCTCTTGCTTATGGTAAATACTGCAGAAAAAAGTCGCGCTTCAATTTCATAGTTCAGCCTTCCTGGCAATTCTTTTTTGTTGTTTTCTGTAAGTTTTGAATGAGTAAATTATTTACATGGTTTTTGAGATGTTTATTTTAGTACGAAACTTTGTATGTATTGAGTTAATTCTTGGAACTCAACAAATCTAAATCAATTTGGTCATAATGCCAATTTTTTCATTTCTTTGGACGCGAAGTAGAACGGACTTGTTTGTGAGAGCTTTTTGCACATTTTAGGATTGATTTGGCCATCTTATATGAGCTCACACTAATGAAAATGACTAAAAGTCCAAGTCCTCATAAAAAATTTGCCCCCATCAATTTGTATACAAAGAAACAACAATGTTAGGTGACACGACCAACTTAGTTCAAATTTGGTGATATGATAGACTGAAGTTTAATATCTAAAAAGTTCGGGACTAGAAGCCGATTTCAACCTATAGAAAATAAAACAAGGGAATAAACTGTCAAGAGCCTTCACTTTTCTTTGTACAAGAGGGGAGATGTATTAAAATCTTTGGTAGACATTATAACATATGAATAAAACCAAAACAGAAGGAAAAAATAAATATGGATCAATGATTCTTTTACAAAAAGACAGATTACAATCCAAGAAACCTAGAGAAACAAATTTAAACCTTGATCCATATGTCTGAATCATAAGTAAATAGATCCAATGGTACAAAACCTTGATCCATGTGCCTGGAGTTATTTGCTATGATTGGAATAGAAACTAAACTCTCCCTCGAACAGTGGATGATAGAGATCTACCATTCAAAGTTTGGTTGTGATATTTTTAATTGTTGGGCTGCATAATCTTTTGGTGAATATGTTGAACAGTTGATTTCTTTTGATATTGTCATGTATTTACATCAATTATTTCATCAAAGTCAGTTTTTAACTTATTTTGAGTTGAAATTTCACACGACTTGTATTTTGTCATCTTGGTCTTTTCATTAGCAGCATAACATATTTCAGTTGAGAGGGAAACAACCCACTGATTTCTATTAATATGATGTTTCACAATCATATCATGATCATTGAATCAATTTCTTCCTAAAGTAACAACTTTATGTCTTCCAGCTCTCGAGATAGATCTACAAGGTGTTAAATTTTTCCCTCTCATTTAGAAAGGTCTTCACATTTTGAAACTATTTAAGATAATTTTTTCCGTCTAAGCGAGAAATGTTTAAGAAACCTTAAGTTCTCCTTTGCTATGATTTTCATCATGAATCATGGTTGATTCTTTTGAAGTGAAGTCAAAGAACCTCGACATAGAGTAGAAGAATTCTACAAGAGAAATAATATAGTCAGTGAAAACCCTAAGTTTAAAGAATAAAAATAAAAGCTGGAAGTGAAAACCCTAACCTTAGAGAGTAAGAATAAATGTTGAAAGTGAATACCTTAACCTTAGAGAATAAGAATGAAGGTTGGAAGGAACACCCCAACTCGCTCTATTACCAAGTAAAAAATAAGGCAATGGAAGAAACTCCAAGTCTTTATTTTCTTTGTGAGGGAAATATATAAAGATATCCCTATACATTATAAAACAATAGTAAAATAAAAAAAATAGGAAAACAAAAATAGGGATTAACTATCCTTTAGGAAGAAAGCACATGGATTATAATATGATTGTCATAGAGAGAGTTCTAACGATACAGAGCATCGATCCATGTGGCTTAAATTCCTTGCTATTCGTGGGTCATAAGTAAATGTATTCAATGGTACAAATACCGCTGTCAAAATGGCTCGTTGTTCATGAACAGTTCGTGTTCGACTTATTAAGTAGCTCGTGTTCGATTCTTTCGCTAAGCGAATGAGTTGAACACAAATAATTTTTCTGTGCTCGATATATAAAAGAGCTGAACATAAACAAAGATTTGTTCATTTTTGTTTGACTCGTTATGACTCAAAATATTTAAATTATTATGTGTTTTTGTGTGTTTTAGTGTGTATGTGAAGGTATTTGCGTGTGTGTGTGTGCGTGTGTGTGTGTGTATATAATGAGTATTATTTTTAAATAATTTAATTGACTACAAGGCTTATAATCAATTAAAATTACTAATAAAAAATAGAATAAAAATATATTAAAATATATTTAACTGAATATTTTAATAAAAATAATAGATTTAAATCTCGTCATACCCTTAACATCCTACGACTGTGTGACTAGAGTTGTTAAAATGACTCATTGTTCGTGGACAGTTTGTGTTCGGTTCGATAAACAAACGAGCAAACACGAATAAAATTTTAAAGCTTGAAATATAAACGTGTCAAACACGCACAGTGATATTTTTTAATGAGTCGAGTCAGGGCTCGCTCAAGCTAAGCTCGTTTACACTCCTAACGATTGTGTGATTAGGGTTGTCAAAACTGCTCTTTGTTCACGGATAACTTCTGTTTGACTCGCTAAGCAAACAACCTGAACACGAACAAATTTTTTTTATTTGAAATATAAATGAGTCAAACACGAACAATGGTATTTTTTAAAGAATCGAACACGAATTGAAGTAGCCCGAGCTCACTCGGAATAAAGCCTTGATATGTGTGCCTTAAGTTCTTAGCTATGACCGGAACAAAAATTCAACACAACCCAAATGTGAAATCCAAAATCTATAAAAATCAAACCGATCAAAAGTTTGATAAAACTGAACCAATCAAACTAAAATTAGTTCGGTAATATATAAATTAAAATTTAGTTGCTAGTTGGAGTTTGTTTATAAACAAACTTATCAACTTAATTTCATGAAACTTCCATTTAATTTTCAAATTTTGGTTTTCTTATTTATTCAGTTGAATTATAACTAAAATCAAACAAATAACTCAAAATTGAATGTTGATGTTTTAAAAACTTAAAATTGAAATGTATTTTGAAAAACAAACCGAATAAACTAATTTTTTTTAGTTCGTTTTGATTTTTCATTTCAGATTTGAGAATTTCTTGCCTTTTTTTTTTTTCGCCTGATGAAAATTATTTCAAGTTTTACAGGTTGCCTATTCGTGCATGGATCCATCACGCTAATTTGTAGTGGGTTTAAATATAAAATTTTAGATATTAGATATATAAATACGCAGAAGTTGTGGGATCTATATGTAAATTTTCCTAAATTTTTTTTTAATGCTGTTTGTACATGCTTTACCGTTTCAGCCAAAGATATTCATTTCTTCTAATTTTGAAATTGATTTTAAATAAAATTTATTTAAAATTGGAAGAATTTTCTTAGCCAATATTTAAATTTATTTAAGTAATGGTGCATTTGGGGTGACGATGTGGTGTCGCACTGCAGTTTTCTCTGTTAAACAAAATTGTGTTTTATTTATGTTCTCAAAAAACTGTAGTTGAAAACTGTGTTTTTACACTATATCTGGAAAAATTATTATATCAGGACTACACACGTAAGAGTTATGTATGGAGTACAATGAAATCACGACACGTGGAGGTAAAAGAAAAAAAAAATCTACCCGGTAACACGGGAATATTCCTCTCGCTCTTTTTCTGTATTATTCAGGTGTTATTGTATGTTATTCAGGTGTTATTGTATTCTGAGAATTTTCTCGGTTTTATAATAACACAATAACGCATCAATAATACTTGAATAACACACAATAACACATGAATAATACACAATAGCATCTGAATAACACGAGAGGAATATTCTCTTGTGTTAACAGACATATTTTATTTTTTTTCTTGTCACAGTCACGTGGCGTGATTTTATTGGACTCCGCGTGTAACTCTACATATGGAATCCTGATTCAATATTTTCTAGCATATCTGATTACCTACAATGACTGTTAGAAAACTGCGATGGCTTTTTCAAAAGAAATATTTATAATCATTTTTCAGCCTCAAACAATCTTCAGATTGGCAGAATATGATAGCTGTCAATGCAGAAGAAATAGACAAAGTATTCTAAACTTATTAGAATTTGTCAAGACTTACTAATCAAAACCCATTTTATTAATTTTTTAATAATATTTAAGTTATGTTCACACTAATCAAGCCAAAGATCTAAAAGCAAATATGAATTTAAAAATCGCGGATAGCTGCTGCTGACCACAGGTAGGGACGACGGTCTGGATTCACCCACGCCGCCGTGTAAATCCGGGAAATCCGATGGCTATAACAGTGATCGCCGATGTACCTCTCCTCGCCCCCGATCTGCCATCATGCAAGAAGGTAAAGAACAGTTGGACTTAGCTCCACTCCTAACTCTCTAATAAATCTCTAATGAATTTCTCTAATTTCTTCGATCTGTACTATTTCATTGGATGCGATGTCAGAGATTCAACTTGGCCGTCCTCTGTCGATCTCCATCGCACCTGATGCCGCCATTGCTGCAACCGCATTGCTCAGCGGCGAGCAAGGTCGGCAGGAGCTTAATGGTGATGTTTGGCAGATTCCAAGGCTCAGAATGGCTGAATCCGGTCGTGTGGAGGAGTTAGAGCGATTCTGTCAATATGTTGGTAATTTTCAATTTATCGATCGAACTTTTGTTCTGTGAGTTGATGATTCTTTGGCTGTGTCGCTGCTTGCATTTTATATTTTGACTGTTTCGGTGATTTGGTACCCTTAGGCTTTGTTTTGTTGATTGTATATGAAGGCATTTTTTTAGATGTAAGGATTATATTTCCATTTATGTTTAAGCTTGAAATTGAAATTTCTATTTTAAGTGTGTTTGGAGAGGTTTATAAGGTTTGAAATCAATTTGAGTGTCATTTTTAAATTTCACGCACAAGCTGCTTCCAAGGCTTGCCTTTGAACTCCCACCTCTTTTCCTATCTGAAAATGATTTGCCCCTACTTACCTGTAGGGCTGTTAAAGATCAGATTTCGAGCTAAGCTGAGGTTGGCTTGAAATTGACCCAAATTGATTTAGTGCGGCTCAAATTCGAAACGAGCTGGCTCAAGTTGAGTTATTATGATTCATTTCAGCTCAAAATTGGCTCGATCCTGCTCAAAATTGAAACTAACCGGCTCAAATTGAGTTATTCAAATTCATTCCCGCTCGAAATTAGCTTGAAATTGACTCGTGACTCATTATATTCAACGTTACTTAGCATTATTTATATAATTTTTTAAAATAAAAAAATCCTACAAGACGATGTTAGTACGAGCCGATCTATGTGGCTTGAAATCGGCTTGAAAAAATTTCATCCAAAGTTTTAGCTCATAGCTGGGCTTGTTTATTTTGACTTAATCTCGATTCGAGCCAAAATTTGAACTAATTTTCGAGCGATTAACGATTTTCGAGCTAAATTCACCGCCCTACTTGCTTGTAAAGGTGGTTTCTCATTACTATGTATAGATTCATAGCAACTAGCTGATGCCATAGTAATCAACTTCATTTGCTTCACTTTTACAAGATGGAGAATTAAGTTTCCAAAGATTGTGTTTCCGATTGAAGAAAATATTACTGTTCTTTGCCTCATTTCTTTCAGAACAGATGTACCACAAAAATTAATATAGGGATAACTGAACCTTGTCATAAATTGGAAACTGAACTTTTATAGCAGTATAGTATTTACATACCTTAAGTGCTACGTTACAAAGCAAAATCAACAGTCTGAATAAGCCACCATTGAAAGAAAGATGTAGTGGTGGGATATTCATACTTAAAATTAACTTTATTTCTGTAATTGTAGGCCTTTGGCTTTTGTTCTCCCAATGAATTTAATGAAAACCTTGACTTCACAGTAATTTTTCATGATAGGTTTTGCGGCACCTCGATTTGAAGATGAACATTTAAAATTGTTTCAATCATAATGAATGGAAGACGGTTCAAGAGTAAATCAGTACTCCATTGATCATTCATTTGTATAAGATTAAATGTTTAGTATCCCTATACAATGGAGCACCTAGTAAGTAAGAGGAGAAATCTTATTTGTGAATCCAGTAGTTTGGCTTATCATAGAAATTTATTGATGAACTGAAAGACTATAGCAGCTTTTATTCCTGTTCATGTACTGTTCAGAAACTCCTTCATTCTTCTGCAAAACTTCATAACCTTCGTTAGGAATCTCTTTCAACTATTAGTAAAGGCAATCTTGTCGTTTCCCAAGCCAATTGAGAGATAGATTGGTTTCTCTCATTGTAATTATATAAAAAATTCTGTTTATCCCTTGAATAAATACTCTGTTTCAATAATATACAGTAAGAGTGAAAAACAAAACATTTTAAAGCAAATTAAAAAGTTCTTACTTTCTTAAACTAAATCATTAAATAATGAACTTGTTATTTAAAAGATGTTACTTTGCTTTTATCTACTTCAGGCTTTTAATTTCAAGATCTACTCAAAAAGGAAAAAACACAAGGGGATTGCAAGTGCACCACACGATTTTATATATTTGCATATTTAACACGTAAATTTTAATATTTACTTGAATGACGTCTAAATCCTTAACATCACATAAAAAATAAAGCTAATATTAATCAAAGTGAAGCACATATTTTCATGCATATAGTTTGATCTAATTATGACACTTCAGTGTTCTATTAGTAAAAATCAAAGGTTAGTGAAATATATAAATACATAAAAATTATATGGCGTTGATGGTTCTTTCTATTATGTTCTTGTTTCAGCCAGGCAAATTGGTTTTGAAGACATTAGCGAGTGTCCTCAGCTAGGTAAATTAGCCTATGCCTATATGAGGAAGACGAAGGGATATGAGGAACATATTTTCTCTTTCTTCTCCAATGAGCCAGATCCTGAGGCTTTATGTGTGGAACTCATAGACGAACTAGACAAATGCATTCTGGGATATTTTGCATTTCATTGGAGACATGCAACTTTTCTGATTAGCCAGGTATAAAGTGAAAATAATTATCTATCTGTACACTTTTTTTTTTTTTTTGCCTATTTTCTTGATTAATTACTCTATTTGCGCGCACCATTTATGCTAGATTCTGGATGCTGATGCCAAACCTGTTGGGAAACTAAAGAACATGATTATGGAGGCTACTAGGTGGGCACTTCTAACTTCACATTAGCTTAATGGATGTAAGTATGATACATTATTTGTTCTTAGCTATGGGAGGGAAACCTCCTCCTACTCGCTTGTATGTGATGAGCAGAGATTTTGCCAGTGAATTTCTATGAGCGGGAGGCAAAACATGCTCGAGAAATAGATAGAATTTGATCCAGCTTTATATGTTTTTATTAATAAAACATAATAAATTTCCTCACAGGTTATTTGAACCAAAGTTTTTAACCTTTTATGACTTAGATGAATTCCCTCAACAATCTTACAAATTTTATGACTGCCAAATGTAAATAAATTTATTTGCGTTGGAACACAACTAATGTAATCTTTAATAGTTTTAACTCATGAAATATATTGATAAGTTTTAATGTTTTAAGTAGAAGTTTATAAATTGTCCAATTATTCTCAATTTCCTTACATTTTTGAGAATGCAAATTCTTTATGAAAATGTTCTGAAACATAAAACATAAGCGATTTTTTATTACTAGAAGAAGATGAATGGTATGATTATTTGTTTAATTATCTTAGATGATGGTATGCCTAAAACAACTTCCGATCACAAAATTATTCCATTTCTACAATAGGAGAGGTCAATCTTTCTCTTTTTTTTTTTTTGCCTGTAAATTCATCTTTTATAATTCTAAATTATTCATAAAATTTTGTGGAATTAGAGCCATAACTAATTCTTAAGGATCAAAAGGATTATTAACAACAACAACAACAAAGCCTTAATCCCACTACGTGGGGTCGGCTACATGAATCCTTTTTCTCCATTGCATCCTATTTAGTGTCATATTTTGATTTAGTTCTAATAAATTAAGATATTTTCTTATACAATAAGCCCAAGTTTTCTTAGGTCTACCTCTGCCTTTCTTAACATAAGTCGAATCTAAAACATCTACTCTCCTAATCGGATCATTAGATGGTTGACGTTTAATGTGACCAAACCATCTAAGACGACTCTCTCTAATTTTGTCCATCACTGGAGCTACACCAACCCTATCACACATATATTCATTTTGCATTATGTCTCTAAGTGTAAAGCCACTCATCCACCTAATCATTCTCATCTCAGCAACACTTAACTTAGTATTATGCTTCTCTTTTAAAGGCCATCATTCAGCGCCACAGAACATTGCAGGTCTCAATACCGTCTTTTAAAATTTTCCTTTTAGTATAAGCAGTACTTTTCTATCACACAAAAGGCCCAAAACATTCCTCCACTTCAACCAACCAACTTGAATTCTACTATTAACATCCCCATCTATATCACTAGGGCTGTCAAAATGGCTCGTTGTTCGTGAAGAGCTCGTTAAGAAGCTCGTATTCGGCTTGTTCGCTAAGTTAACGAGCCGAACATGAACAACACAAATAAATATTTTTTCGTTCGTGTTCAGCTCGTTTTGGCTCGAAATACTACTATGATCAATTATATATATATCTTTGATGAATAGTATTTTTAAAAAAATTAATTAACTACAAGACTAAATCCTTAACATCTTATGGCTACGTGATTAGGGTTGTCAAAACGACTCTTTGTTCGTGAACGACTCGTGTTTGACTTGCTAAGCAAACGAGTCGAACACGAACACACTTTTTGAGCTCGAAATATAAATGAGCGGAACACGAACTGAGCCTGGGCTCGCTCGTGTTCGGCTCGTTTACACCCCTATATATCACCATCGCTTTGAACAACAGACCCGAGATATCTAAATCGTTCACACCTTTTAATAATTTGATCACCCAAAGTTACACTTCTGTCACTAGAGCTAATATTACTAAAATTACATTCCATGTATTTTGTTTTAGTTCTACTCAAATGAAGGCCTTTAGACTCCAATGTAGACCTCCATAATTCAAGTTTTTCCTGGGTTTTTTTCTCTCGTCTTATCCATGAGAAGGATATCATCAGCAAAAAGCATACACCAATGTACATGCTCCTGTAAATGTCCAGTAAGACCATCCATAACTAAAGCAAAAGTATATGGGCTTAAAGCCGTTCCTTGATGTAATCCAACAAAAATAGGAAAGTATTTGTTCAATCTTCCTTCAGTTTGAACACAAATGACACCTCTATTATACATATCCTTAATCACTTGAATATAAGTCGTATCAACACCTTTCTTCTCAAAAACTCACCAAAGGATATCTCTTGGAAACTTATCGTAAGCTTTTTTTAAATCAATAAAAATCAAATGTAGATCCTCCTTATTATCTCTGAACTTCTCCATCAATCCTCTCGATAAATGTATAGCTTCCATAGCAGATCTGCCTGACATAAATCCAAATTGATTATGAGAAATCTTAGTAATACGTCTTAATCTAATGTTCAATTACCATCTCCCATAATTTTGAAGTATAACCCAACAACTTAATTCCTTTATAACTTGCACACTCTTGTGCATCCCCTTTATTCTTAAAAATGGGGACAAATGGGGACCAAAATACTCTTCCGGGGACCAAAATACTCTTCCTCCACTCCTGAAGCATCTTTTTAGTTTTTAAAATAATATTAAAGAGTTTAGTAAGCCAAGAAACTCCCAAATCTCCCAAATTATTCCACACTTTAATTGGGATATCATCAGGTCCTTCAGACTTTTCACCCCTTGGATTATTAACGATATGATTTTTTGTTTACACAACCTCGAAGTTGGTAGGGTCTCTAAAAGAATTTGGATAAAAAATTCTATCCCTGCCCTAGGATGAGAGAAGTGTGTGTGTGTGTGTGTGTGTGTGTGTGTGTGTGTGTGAGAGAGAGAGAGAGAGAGAGAGAGAGAGAGAGAGAGAATATGTAAGACAAGAAGAGATAAAGGGAAGACGGCTTTTCATTTACTATTACAGGACCTACAGTAAGCACTTTATAAAGTGCAGCGAGAAGATTCTAGTAATAAGCAAATTACATCACAGCCCAATGTAATTATTAGCACAGTGGTTCCCTATGGGTAGGAGGATATGATACGCAGTAGTGGAGCTTGATTCCCGTACAACCACTTCTCTGAAGGAGTTGGTTATTGAGAAGTATGTGTATGTGTGATTCAAATCTACTTTTTGTATCCTTGATTAATTATCATTATTTTTTTTTAATTATATAGTATGCAGACATTAGTATTTCTAAGACAGTCTGGTGGGCGCAGAAAACTGAGGTTTGAAAAGGTTACAAGGAACTTGAAGATGACAAGGTTGTTCTCGACGTTGGTGGATGAGATGAAAGCCATCAGAATTGGACCTCAGGAAGGTGTTGGAGATAAGGAAGTGATGATCCCAGCAGCCCACTGTGATAGGAGTCCGGTTCTCCTTTTGATGGGCGGTGGAATGGGTGCGGGAAAAAGCACTGTACTCCAAAACAAATTACTTAAAGAGTAAGTTGTTTTTAAGAAGATATCTTACATAAGTAAGTCTTATAATGAATCTGAGGATTTTTTTTATATTTTTATTTTTTGATCAAAAAAATTCATTTCTAAGAAAATATGAAATAAAGACAACCATTTCTCTGAGGCGAACATTTAAATATTAAGATTTTTTTTTCTTTTTTGCTATCCAGTATTTGCATAAAGTGGCATTGTTTTAATGATGCAGAGCATTTTGGTCGAAAGCAGCATCAAATGCAGTAGTAGTTGAAGCAGATGCATTCAAAGAGACAGACGTTATTTATCGTGCCATCAGCTCTCGTGGTCATCATAATGACATTATTCAAACAGCTGAGCTGGTAAAACTAATACATACTTTACATCCTCTTGCTCTTTATCTTCTTTTACATTGCATGTTTGTCATTTCATAGGTGGATAGATAGATAGATAAAAAACGAGCCAAACACGACAACGAGCCGAACACTCATTATATAGGTAGGTAGGTAGAAAGATAGACAAATAGATATAATTGATGAGTAGTATTTCGAGCCAAAACGAGCCGAACACGAACGAACAAATCTTTGTTCTTGTTCGGCTCATTAACTTAACGAACAAGCCAATCATGAACTTCTTAACGAGCCGAACACGAGCTGATCGCGAACAACGAGACATTTTGACAGCCCTATTAATAATGGATGTATAAAATAAAATAAAATTTAATATTATTTAATGTAAATCTCATATACAATATTGTTGCATATTGTTATATAATATGTGTACAAGATTGTACAATATCAACAAATCCGCATACATAGAGACTCCGTATGCAATAATATTTCATGTCTACATGAGTAATGAAATGAAATATATTTAATATTTCATATAAAAAGTGATTTAATATTAATTCATCTTTTATATTTAGATTCTAGTAAATTATGCCCTTTCTCAGGACATCGGACTAGGTAGATTTATATTAGATTAAAGGAGTGAAATTTACAAAAATAAATTGAAACTAGTTCTATTGACAGATAAGGTTGATTATATTTTTCACTTTAACAAGTGGTGTTAGTGGAGACAATGATATAAAGATTAAATATTAATAATGTTTTCATTAATGAGTGTGTTAAGGGGCTTTTAACTCATGTGTTGCGGGCATTTCTCATTTATTGGATGGTGATTAAGGCTTTTGATGGCGAGTTCCGTTGGATGTTCATGGTTAACTGAAAGAAGGCTTCATTTATGATGAAACGATGTCAAAACAGTACATCGTTGCTGAGAACTGGACTTGAAAGGGCTCAAGTCGGTTTTGATTCAAGTAATATTTGCAAAGTTTCTATGTTATTTTTATGGGAGAAATGCATTTAATTTAGATTACCTAGAAGTAGTTGGCTACAGTTTTCTCAAGGATTTTGGTTACTATTCTCTCATGTTGAGTTGTCTGCCTTTTGGTTTTTTCACTTGGTTTGTAAGGACATGGGGTCCTTGGGCACCTTTGTGACTACTTAATGTTGCATTTCTTATATTTTTGGAGCTGCTTTTTACCACTCATCATATGCCATTCGAAAAAACCTAGAAGTCTGCTTTAGATTAACTGCACCTTATGTTATCAATTTTAAGATGAGACCAACATATGGACCTGATTAGATAGCCGTTGAGGTGACTCAAAAAGGTGCTAAATCATGATCAGCATGCACCTTAATAAATCCCATTATAATTCTAAGCTAACCCAAGTTTATAGTAGAATTTGAAATATTTGAGATTTAGTAGGCTATTTGACTCCCTTAAATGGGTATCTCCTTTGCTACAATTTGTTTTCCTATTAAACTATTTTCTTAAAATCATTATTTGTCCTAACATTGTAGAGATTATTATTTTATCAAAATAATCAATCAACTATATTTTATCCAATAAAATTTCAACTCATATTTTTAATAGCTAACTTCTAATGACCTTTCCCACTCAATGTATCTCGTGCATTATTAATGTTGGGTGTTCCGCGCTTTTCCCTATCAGGTGAACGAGGCGGGAACCAATCTAGGGAGGGACCAATTCAGTTTTCTAGCCCCAAGTGGTTGGGCGGCGTATTTCCTTATTTAGGCTACTAATTAGGGTTTCTCTTGCTTGAGGATATTTAAATATTTGTGAACTTATTTGGTGGACAATAATAACATTCTTACATGTGTAGCAGCTGGTAATTTTACAGTATGCTGGAGGAAATAAAAAAGGCTTAAAATTTAACTGATTTTTCAAACAATTTTTCTTGCGCTACAATATCATTTTTAAAAAGTTTGTAAGATGATACTTCTAACTGACAAAAATAATTATTTATATATGCCTTGATCATTGTTTTATAAACTTGATAAGAATGTTTTGCAACTCCTACACTTCAAGAATAATATTTTGTTTTCTTAGCATAATTACCTCATGATGTGTCCTCATTCAAGTTTCTCACGATGGACTCCCCCACTTCAAATTAGAAGCTACAAGTAGTAAAGCATTAGCATTATTGAGAATAAATATTACTTAATTAAAGTTTTTTGTTTTTCAAAACTAGAAAAAGAAACACTGTTGGCCTTCAGAGATTTGCCACAAATATGCAGGTGCATCAATCTTCTATGAATGCAGCATCATCCTTGTTGGTGACCGCTCTGAATGAAGGAAGGGATGTCATCATGGATGGCACTCTCTCATGGGAGCCATTTGTGGTGCAAACAATAGCCATGGCGAGGGAAGTCCATCGCCGACGCTACCGGATGGGCCCCGGCTATCATGCAGCACAAGACGGCTCAATCATCGAAAGCTATTGGGAGCCGGTCGAAGATGATGAGTGCAATGTTGTGGAAGACGGCGGAACCCGGAAGCCTTACAGGATAGAGCTTGTTGGAGTTATCTGTGATGCATACCTTGCAGTTGTCAGAGGCATCAGGTTTCATTAATGATACACATAGATTTTGCATTTGTATCCTATGTTGAAAATTTGTATAAGTTTGTGTCAAGGGAGGTAATATATTAGGTTGTGTGAAAGTTTAAAGAATCTTTTTAGATGAAGTGTTTCCATATTCTTTTCAAAGGATAAGACTTGTTTTTTTGTAATTTTAAAAATGCTGAAATTTAGTATTTACATAAAAGTTCAAGGTAATTTAAAAAAAGTGTATTTTTGTTAAAAAAAAAGTGTATGCAAAGTGTTAAATAGAAGCTAATATTGTTGATATAATCCATGACAGGAGGGCTATAGTGATGGGCAGAGCAGTTCGAGTGAAGCCTCAGCTCAGTTCCCACAAAAGGTTCGCCGCTGCCTTTCGCAACTATTGCCAGCTTGTGGACAACGCCAGGCTATACTGCACCAACACCATCGCTTCACCCAAGGTATTAAGTACGTAAATTTCATATGTATATATATATATATATATATATATATATATATATAAATATATATGTGTGTGTCATATGTATTACACCTAAGCTTTACTTTTTACATTTACCATCCAAAATTATATTATCACATTAAAAACATTACATTTTTTATACTTCTAAAAAATTGAAATACACCTTTGCATGAGTTGGCATGTATGTAAAAAATTAAAATTTACGTAGGAATTTAAGCGGTGTGTATATATATAAATCATCATATTTTTTTTTATGTGAATGAATAATGGACGGATAGATGGTATTGAGTAAATAATGACAGTCAATAATTTATATGAATTTTATTGTAAATTTTGAAAGAAATATAAATATAAAATTTAAATGTGGCGGCTGATGTCTAATTTTTTTATAATATATATATATATATATATTGCAATTTTTTAAAAGTTTGCAGTTTTACAATCACATTTTTTAAAAATTACAGTCATCGGAAACAGATAAGAAATGGATGTTGTTAATTGGGTGCAGCTAATAGGGTGGAAAGACGGTGAGAGCGCACTGCTGACAGATCCAATGGAAATAATGTGGTTGGATAAATATATATATATATATATAAATATATATGTGTGTGTCATATGTATTACACCTAAGCTTTACTTTTTACATTTACCATCCAAAATTATATTATCACATTAAAAACATTACATTTTTTATACTTCTAAAAAATTGAAATACACCTTTGCATGAGTTGGCATGTATGTAAAAAATTAAAATTTACGTAGGAATTTAAGCGGTGTGTATATATATAAATCATCATATTTTTTTTTATGTGAATGAATAATGGACGGATAGATGGTATTGAGTAAATAATGACAGTCAATAATTTATATGAATTTTATTGTAAATTTTGAAAGAAATATAAATATAAAATTTAAATGTGGCGGCTGATGTCTAATTTTTTTATAATATATATATATATATATATTGCAATTTTTTAAAAGTTTGCAGTTTTACAATCACATTTTTAAAAAATTACAGTCATCGGAAACAGATAAGAAATGGGTGTTGTTAATTGGGTGCAGCTGATAGGGTGGAAAGACGGTGAGAGCGCACTGCTGACGGATCCAATGGAAATAATGTGGTTGGATAGAGTGAGCCAACTGAACGAAGACGCGGACAATGTGAACGAGCTGTACCGAAACCCACCTTCTGCTCCTCCTACTCCTAAGAGTAACCCCACAACCAGCCCTAATACCTTATGGGAAGATGCTGTGCTGTGCCCCTCCAGACTCTCTACCCAGCAGCACCTCAAGGCCCTGCTCCACTCAGTTTGAAACCCCCCACACCACCCCACCCCACCAGGCATTTCTCTCTCTCTCTCAATGTGTAGATCAAATTAATTAGATTTGAACCACTTTTAATGTTTCTACTAAATGATATCTCATACTATTGAGGCTTGAGAAATGCTCCTTCAGGGAATATAAGCTTCTTCTATTGAGGATTGGGGTTGAAGAAGGTTAAAAGAATGTTTTTTATTAGTGAAATTTCCATCCCAATTCTTATGCAATTACCTTTCTCAACACCCAAAATCTCATTTTTACAAACCTACCACCCAACTTATCTTTTTCAACACTCTCCAACACTAAAATTCACATTTTGATCTACTTTTATTCATTAGGAGATTGTTGATTTTGTAAAAATGAGAGTTTGGGTGTGAGATCAGTAAATGCATAAAAATTTGGTGCTGTGTATCTAAATTTCCGTTTCTAGGGGGATTTCTAGATCAGTAAATGCATAAAAATTTGGTGCTGTGTATGTAAATTTCCGTTTTTAGGGGGATTTCTTATTATTAGTTCTTTTTTTTTTTTTTTTTTAACTTTATGGGATTATGATGTCTTATTAACAATTATACCCAAACGTTGCCTTTTTACATTTATACCACCCAATCACATCAAAAATATCACCTTTTTAGCTTTAAAAAGGGTGAAATACACACACACGCATCCACACACAGACACACACAGATATATAATATATATATATATATGCAAGTACATAGGAATTGAATGTTATGTAAATCTTCTAAAAGTATATAGAATTATGTATTATGAATGATAAAAATACAATATTACAAATAATTATAGAGAGTTTTTCTTGGACCAAAGAGTGCAAGAGCCAATCCCGCCCCCATAACCTCTCCCTCTCCCAAATCTCATCATGAAAACACATGTACCATTTCTCCTATGCTCCTTCCTAACTGATACTGACTTCCACAACAAAAATAACAATTAGAATAAAACCAACACACTTAACAATCCATTCTATGTTCATGTGTAATTAGCACATAGAAAATCAGAATGGATTAGCAAATTAAACCCTCATTATTTCCCAAATCAACCATACTTTACACAATCTGAATATTAATTATATCCAATCCAAAACCAAAGCTCAGTTAGGTTTAAAGAACTTAAGCTTGAGACCAGTGTTAATCATACTCCACACCCCCCCAGCAGAGAAAGCCAGGCTGAAACCTATTCCAAGCACCCCAAGACTCCAATTCAAATACCATATAAAACTGAACCTCTGAGGTTTCTTTATCAGAGCCCACATGAAGCAGGGATAGGCGAAGGTTACCGGAAGTGTGAGGCCGCCGAGAAGTCCGGCGATACTCGATAGAAAAGGGAATGCCACGCCGATGAAGAACGAGATGAAGCCGTAGAAGATCCGAAAACCGGATCGAACCCAGATCGAACAGGGACGATTTGTTCGGCTCGTGTATCCTGCTTCAAAGCTGTCGAATACGGGCATGGAGTATATCTGGAAGCTGCTGAGACAGTTCAAGACGACTAATAGGAATGCAGTCGCAAGAAGGGCTCCAGGAATATCATGGTTGTGAAATGTATATAGTCCATTTAGAATCCCTCCTGCAGGCATCTATTTACAAATTCTAAGTTTAACCACTAACAGAGTTGAAATGAGATTTATCAAATCAAAAGAAAAAAAATCATAAAAGGAACATGTACATACATACCACACAAGTATTTTGCATTTATTTATCTAACATCTAAACCTTAATTTTTATACAGATAACATAAATCATTAACATCGCATCAAAAATATCATTACGATTAACTTTTTATAAGTGAAGTACTCCTTTTCATGCGCAGGTTCATGAAACTAGAGAGTTATAGATGTAAATATCAAACTTTAGGTGTTAGATATATAAAAAGGTATGTAAGTAAATTCTCCTAAAAAAATAACTTACAAGGTTTCCATAGGCCCAGAAACCCCCAATGGCGACAGGGAACAGACACATAGCAATAAGAAGATAAGCAACTTTGGCTCCTCTCCACATGGGCACATGAGCCGGGTGCTTGAATGTCGACGGCATCGTTGCCTGCAATAAAAAACTAAATTATCACTGAAGTTTCCGAATTTTACGAATTATATCATAAAAAACCCAATTTTTCATAACTTGTCTGAAACATTAATGTCCTCACCTGAATCTCCAAGGCAAGATTATGGCCTCTGAAAGCAAATGCAACGATGCCAAGCGAATTCAAGACCGAAAAACTGGATGCAGCGAGGGAATTCGATCGGAGGGGTTCGTAAGATATGGAAGCTGGTCTTGTTTGGCTCACAGAAAGGACCCATGCCATGGTTGTGTAAGTTAAAGCTGTTACTGCACCGATGAGTGAGAGGCCGGCAATGGAGTTCAGGTTCGGAAGTTGGGATAGAACGATGCTTAGGGAAGTAAAAACCAGGTACCACTCAACAGTGGTTAATGGATTTGAGGTGCAGAGTGTTCCACAGACAATCTGGAAGAATAGTTTCATGGTTTCTCCGCCGACCAGAATCAGAGCTGTAGCAGTCCCTGCTGACAGATAAACTGTTGGGAACAGAGCAAGCCACACGCCTAATCTTTCGCCTGAAACAAATTTAAATATAAAAAAAGCGTAAGTTTTGTCAAATTAAGCCAATGATTTGTACCTAGTGTAAAAAATTGGAGAAAATATTTTGTCCGGACCTGGAATATCGGGACGCCTCCCTTCCGGCCAATCACCGACGGCCACGTTGTCATACACATCATTGACAAGCGACGTGACAGTCGGTGGTTGGTCGTCCGGGTCCGGACGACAAGCGACGTGACAGTCGGTGGTTGGTCGTCCGGGTCCGGACATGGGGACGTGCTAAATTGGAGAAGTATTCTTTCAATCTAAACCAAGGGTTATGCACTTTTTTTACATTATATGGATGCATAAATTTTGTTAGTAAGAACATTAAAGACTATTTCAGCCTTAATCTAAAGAGTTTGGAGCTATTTACTTTTGTATAAAGTTAAATCCTGTTACATAAACTTCACCATGAATTCTACGCAGGCATTAAATGCAAATCCATTTACTACCAGAAAACGTGAAGCCATTCTTTCCATATAAAATGCATGAGATGGACATTGCATGATGGCATGAAAAAAGGGCACACATGTAAAAATTTAAAAGTAGAAGGGGCATTTAAATACATAACACCCAATTCCTATGTATTTACATGCCTATCACTTAACTTGTTTTAAAAAGTGAATACACCTTTTCATGCAAAGGTAAAGTGGCATTAATATAAAATGTAAAAGTTTAGGGGTTAGATGTGTAAATACATAAAAACTGGGTGGTATGTATGCAAATCTTTCTTGAAAGTAATCATGGAAAGAAAATTCATTTGCTACAAAGAGCATGACATGACATATATCATGGAAATGAAAATAGAGCAATAATTTTCTGTTGTTAAATTGGCATAATATTTCTCCATACTTGCAGATGAGAAGCTTCGTCGAAGAAAATGCTAGAAAATGAGTAAATTCAATCATAGAAACAGCTTAAGATCTGTTACCAAAAGCAGCCTGCGCAAGCTCCACATATCTGTTGTATCTTCTTCCTGGAACAGCTTCATGGAGATTAACGAGTATCCAGAGAGTGTAGAGTTGCCAGAGGTAGGCTATCATCAGAGATATTATCCCCCAACTCCTGCAGTTTAATGGGGTCATTTGAAGATTTCATCCATAAATCTGCATTTTTTGGGTCTATTTGACTGAAACTGTGATTCTTCTTTTAGAACCAATTTCTTATTTGATTTTCTATAGAATTTATTGTAAAAATTTTTCTCTGCTACCCCCAACCCAACCTTTTTCACAAAATTTTCTCAGTTTTAACAAATACATTATGTACAATTTTACCTAGTGTACATAAGTTCGTTACCACCATTAATGGACTCATCTCCATCTTCAACCACAAAATGTTAGGGTTTCTCAAGATTGCTAGAGAGAGGTTTACTTTCAGTTGTTGCAATAATTTCAAAGAAGGAGAAGCAGCAGCAGCGTAAAAATTTTTCTCTGCTACCCCCAACCCAACCTTCCTCACAAAATTTTCTCAGTTTTAACAAATACATTCTGTACAATTTTACCTAGTGTAAAAAAGTTCGTTACCACCATTAATGGACTCATCCCATCTTCAACTAGGGTTTCTCAAGATTGCCAGAGAGAGTTTTACTTTCAGTTGTTGCAACAATTTCAAAGAAGAAGAAGAAGAAGCAGCAGCAGCAGAGAGAGAGAGAGAGCTAAAGAGAGAGAAAGACATTCAAGTTTCTTAAAGTCAACTTCATGTCACATGAATTGAGAGTGACATAACCACAGACAAATCAACCACATTCATTAAAACCTGCAACAAATAATTTCTTATTCACCCAAAACTAAACCCGATTCAAAAAATACCAAAAAAAGCAAAAAAAAAAAAAAAAAGAACTCTGCAGCAGCCGATTAGGGCGGATAATAAGAAGCAGAACAATACCAGCCGAGGAAGGCGAAGGCGACGGGAAGAACAAGAGCCTGGAAGCCGATCCCAGCATTGAGATTATGAAACGCAGCGTAAAGAGCATTGCCATTACGCGATTCAGTGATAGGAAGCCAAGCATCCTGCGGATTGAGCCGCGTGAGATGACCGACTTCTTCCAAATACCCTCGAAGACTCACCACCACCCTCTTCATCGGCGTCCCCATGGATCCGCTAGGGCTAAGCAACCTCGGCGTCGCCAATGCCGACGCCACCCCCGTCGGCGTCCAAGACGCCTTCACCCTCGCCCGGCCCCCC